GGGGGAGGTGTGCGCGCAGATTTTCCGCCCGAGGAAGGAGGTGGCAGAGAAAGAACTGGGGCATGCCAGCTCCCGTTATTGTTCTGCCTTCATCGGTAATTAGCAAGATAAGGAGGGGACGGCGTGAGGGAGGCAGCGTGGCGAGGACAAGGCAGCGCTGCACCCCACCTCATGCCCATGCGGCCATCTTACAGGCGGCGCTCGCCTCCCGCAAAATGGCCGCCAGGGCCCACACTGCCTCAGGCCCGCAGCTGGCCTATCCCGGCGGGCTCCCTTCTGCCAGCCCTGAGGTGGTGGGCACCCCGGAGCAGCGGCAGCCGGGAAAGGGGGGCCCCAGGAGAGAGGGAGTTGACGTGGAGGGCCAGAGTGTGATGGCGAGCGGCCATCTTAGCCCGGGCCGCGCTCATGTGCCAAGGCGCCGGGCACTCAGCGCTCCCTCAGCTTTTTCCTCAGCCCTCCTGCCTGGAACAGTCTTGATACGCTTCTCCTTCACCAGGCAGCACATATTGCCTGGGCCCTGCTCATGGCCATGGAGGCAGCTGTGCCCTTTCCATGGCATTCCCCTTGGACAGGAATGGCGTTATCCCCACACGGACAGCCATTGTCAGGGCACAGCTCCCTGCCTCAGTGTGTCCTGAGAATCCTGGGCACTGGACTGGAAGACAAGGCCTGGACAGATGCAGCAGTCTGAGAGCTACAAGGCAAGATGTCACCTGTCCAGCATTCTGAGAGTGAGTTATAAGCAAATTCTGCCTTTCTCCTAGCCAAAACAAAATAAACCCCAAAGAAAAACTGCAGAGATACCATTAAAGAAGAAGTGAGCTTCCTAAACCTTAATGTAACACAAATTTAAAACAAGGTCAGTAATAAAAGGATAAGGCACAGTTACACAGAGAGCACAGACAAAGCTACAGCTACATTTCCCACTCCACAGGAGCTCTGCAGTGGACACATCAGTACTGCTCAGTTCTCCAAATACGCAACACTGAACCTCAACCAAGGAACCCTCATCCCTTATCTCAGGCTGTCTTCAGGACAGGACCAGCAATTACTGGCATTAAAGCAGTATTTGGGAAGTGTTTCACATGTCCTTAGCCATGACAGGGCTATTTCACATGGTGTGATAGGCACATGACACAGGTTGAAAATTCGGCATCTGCTCCAGTTCTCTGTAGAGAACCAGAGGGTGATTGCAACTGCACGCAGGCAGGGCCGTGTTATACATCTCAGTTAGACAGTGAAACATAAGGGATGGCAGGCTAGCTGCTCCGCTCCAGGGTTGTCTACATGGAAAACCACACCATTATAATGACAGCACTATAGGTCAACCGCTGCTGCTCCTCACCACGCTGGTTCACATCTCCACTCTTAAGCTGGCTTTCTCCAGTTCGGCTTAAACTGCTTCCAGTGTGACATAACTGGTATACAGGAGAGTCCTGCCTTCTGCTAAAGTAAATATCCACAGAGGTTGTACACGTACAGCTCCTTGCTTTAAAATCTGCCCCCCAACCGTACGTCTGTAGCTAGACCTGCCCTTCGGCTAACCTTTCTGTACTCCGCACACTTCTGGGCTGTTCACAGTGCCCGTGAAACACTATTACACCCTGCTTCCCTTGGGTGCTAATCCTGCTTGTCAACCCAAAGGCAGAAGCAGACGGTGGCTTGGCATTTTGATTACGTTGTGATCTGTTTGAACCTTCCAGACTCTTTTGATGTCTGTGCAAATTTGAAAGGGGGAGCCTTCATCCCCCACAATGAAACTGTACTATGGCATGGTGAACCATCTCGGGACTCCTGTGTCCGTAGCCATCACTAGATTGGAAGAGGGGAGGGGAGTTGCAGCTCCTCCAGGAAGAGTCTGAATTTCAGACTAACCAGTTCTGGCCCTGAGCAGAGAACACCATGGGGACAGCGTGTTGCTCTTCAAACAAATGCATGCGTAGGGGAGTGTGCGCATGCACGGAGACACCAGATTTATACAAATAGATGCATTCATAGGAAAATGCAAATAGCATCCTCTTCCATCCCAGGCTCCCTTCGAGCTCCTGACATCCCAAGGTTTCAGAGGAGTACAACTGAGCCTCAGATCAAACATTAGCCCTGCGGGGGTTCCCTCAGGGAAGCAGCCATGCACTGGGGTCTTTTCCCCGCTTCCATGTGAGGTTTCCCGACCCGGCCTTCCGTGGGTGCTCAGTTCTGACACGCGCACGACACACGCGCCCGCATGCAAAGCCTTGCTAAAAGGTGCTCTGGGAATTTAGCTCCACTTCCTCTTTCTCCTGAATCAATTGTCATAAACCAGCTTTTGTTTTATTTTTAACAAAGCGACAGAAATAATCTCCACGCGCAGCCCTTGCCACTCCCACGTCCCTGTCCTTTGGCAGAACAAGCTGTCCAGGGTCCCTGAGGATGTGGGCATGGGGAGACAGCAGGGTAAGAAAGATCAGGAGAGGCTGCTTTCTGGTGCACAGAAATCTGCTGCTCCTCTCTTGAACCCACTGCTTGGCAGGTAGCAAGGCAGTGGGATGGGAAATGGGCTGGGTGGTGTGCAAGGTACTTCCAACCTCCCCAACCCAATTTACAGCTTCACTGCCCCCTTCATCACCAGCCCACTGAAGTACCCACTTTCAACCTTCTCTTTTACCTTTTACCAGAGAAACACTCTGGTTCTCTCGCTCTTTGGTACCAGCAAGAGGCGACTCCTGCAGCATCATTGCAGAAAACGATGGGTTGACATGTAACTTGTGACAGCCCAAGCTCTGCCTGCCTGTGGCACACCCCTGTCTCCAGCATGGCCAAGGACCCATCCCTCCTCCTCCTCCCATCCCACATACCCAGGTTACGGACTCAGACACATATGGAGACATTTCTAGATGAAACCTATCAGTGGGTGAGTGGCAGCTGAGCAGGTACCGAGCAAGACGTGGGGCCAGACAGCAGCCAGGGGGGAAGGCAGCGGGTGGAGGGAACGTGCCTCGGGAGGAATACTCACAAAGGGCTGCTTTCATTAATAAAACATTCCCCCCTCAGTTGCCTTTTGATTTGGGTGTAAGAATTAACCCCATCTGCCCAACAGCACGCAACCTACCAAGTCATGTCTGCTGAGGAAGGCCGTCTGACGTGTCTGCCCAGTTGCCACAGTTCCCCTGCCCACACTCCTCAGCTGCCCAGACTCCTCCAAACAGCTCACCAGCCTCGCTGGGTCTGCCCTATTGAAGAGATCCTCTTCCCACAACATAGATTAGACCCAGTGAAAATAGGCTTAGAGAAAATACCATTTCACTATTAATGCCACCCACCCTGCCCCCCCCCCCGCCTTCACACTCTCTCACACCCAGAAAGATTATAACAAATCCCAGTCACCTTTTGCCCCTGCTAACTACTGCTCCAGTCTTTGCACTGCATGCCTTCAACCATGAGTAGAGAGCTGGGCACAGGGAGTATGTATATATATACACACACATATATCCAGTCAGCACTGAAGGTGCTCAGCCGCACAATACACATCTCCCTGCACAGCATCTTGCCTTGTCACAACACCCCAACCCATCCCTCTCCACTGTAATTGCAGAGCCTGGTCCTTGGGCATCAGCAGAAAGTTGCAGCAAATCCTGCGTTGGTTTAAGCACAATCTGTCCGTTCAGAATCGGTGGGGGGTTGCTTTTACATCACTGAGACATTTCTATACCCTTTCTTGTTTCAAGTAAAACTGAGATGCAGAGATGCCTTCGAAACGACAGCCCCTTCATTTTTCCAGAGGTGTGTTTTAATGAGTGACTCGCCTTCCAAAAAGGGGCCAGCAGAGGGGAAGGACGGCAGATTCTCCACACAAATTCAATAGCTGGTAGGTTGCCATGGGCTAAAGCATTTCTTTGCACACATGAAGGGAAGGGACTCCAGAGCACTAACTCCCATGAGTTATAGCTCTACCCTTCAAGAGCGGAATAAATGCTTTATCCCATTGCAGCCTGCGATGTATTCTACATAGATGGATTGATTTCCCCTATTGTTCTTAATAAATCCTGGCGCATGAAGAAACTCACTGCACAGCCATTTTTCCTGCCTTGTTCTACCTTGCAGAAGTAATAAGGGTCAGATGTGACTGCAGTGGGAAGCAAAGGCCATACACAAGGCAGTGCTTTGCTGGATGCAGTGGGTGTGCTTGCAGGGGTTTGGTGGGTGCAGGCAAGCAACTCCTTTTTCTTGGTTTATTCCCCCTTTGAGTCGAAGATGAGGAAAAAGGGAACCATGGCTGGGTACCGCAGCATCAGCATGGCTCTGAGAGGAGCAGCCACTCTACAAGCTGAGCCTGCACAACAAGCCCCCCAGATCTGCACAGGGAAAGGCAAGGCTCTGGCCCTCTCTGACTGGAGGTCTCAACTGTGAGAGATAAATACATACATTGTATTGTCTCATAAATACAGGGCTGAGTCCTGTACCACCACAGAGCTTTCCTGAGCACACCCAGCTCTCTGTCGTGCTCTGTCCATCAAACGTGACCTTGCCCATGCCCCAGTTGAGAGGAGCCCACACCACCAGCATGGGGGCTCCTCTGGTTTTTTTGCTTTTTTTTTTAAATCAAAAAACCAAACCGACCCCCTCTCATTGACTCCCAACTGCACAACTCAGACCCCCAAGGTGTTGTTGAAAGGGTCTCTCCCTACTGCCTTTTCTCCTCACCAGGTTGATACCCATTCTCTTTCCCTGCTCCAGGAGGGTGCTTGCTGGCCACAGCTTCACGGGTGCCCAGCAAGGAGGCACTGCTGGGCTCCAAAAAGCAGGTGGCTCTGCATGATCCTTCCTTGGCCACCTGCCTTCAGCTCCATCCAGGCTCCCTGGGTTATTGCTGCTGGTCTTCTCTAGCAGCAGCTAACAACTGGCCCTGTTTCAAAACCTGGCTGGGAATTTGGCTGTGGGAAGGAGGGAGGGATCAGGTAATAGAGCTGGTCTCCCATGCACGAGTTGGACTTGATCCTTCAGCAAGACTTCCAGGGACTCACCTCTCCTTGCTCAGGTGGAGACGTCCCAGCCCTTCCCAAGGCATCCCACTCCAGGAACTCTCAGTCATGTCTGATTAAGGAAAAGAGAATTTGTCTCAATTAGAAAGAGGTTCCCATATGCATGGACGGATGTCAAGTAATTACCGCATGTCACTCACGGCTGGAAAAGAGACCTTAAATTTGGGACCGTGCAAACTCGCACACACAATTGCAAGTGAGTTACGGACCCTGGCATGCTCCAGAGCGTACCTTGTGCAGATGCTTTCAAGCCCATCCCTCGGCTGAAATACACCCAGCCACGTAAAATACAGCCAGACACGACCCCATTCTCTAACAAGGAAATAAAGCCAAGCGGACCTGCATTGCCAGAGCCCAGAGAGCAACACTGTCTCTTTAATTTTCTCCCTGGCTATCTCATCCTTTGCACAAACTCTTTCCTCCCCGTGGCTTCTTCCAGCCTGGTGGGCAAAGTGGGAAAACATCATTAGGGAGGAAAAATAATTTAGTTTGTTAATCAGTATCCAGTGGTGGGAAACAAGAAAGACAGAGAGCTGGGCTGGCGGTTAGGGCTTAGGAAGGGCCAGCACAAAGCCCACCATTCATGACATCTGGGGCTGGGATTCTCATTGAATTAAACAGACACAAAGAGCAGAGGCATTTCATGCTCTCTTCACAAGAATTATCATATCTCCCTGGCACTAGGAAACCTTCAGCACGGGAGAGGGGGAGAGAGAGAGAGAGAGGGGAAAGCGGGCAGGCTGGGTAGAAATATGGGGCAGGGTAGAAGAGGCTTTGTTCCAGGGTTGGATTTATGGATGGGATGCGGCGCGTTTCTTTGCGGGGAGAGACAAGGCCCTGGCGCGCTGGGTCTAATAAGAATCAGCAAATGTGAAACAGGGGGCCCCTGTGTACCATGAAGCAGGGAAACCCGCGTTTGACAAGCCAACAGAATAACCGCTCGCGTCTCAAGGCTGTGGAAGGATGCTGACGTTCCTGCGAGATGTGTCGTCTTGTGTGTGTGTCAGCGAGGAGGGGGAGAAGGGGAGCGGCGAGGAGTATAAACAAGAGACCAGGCAGCATCGTTCAGTCATGAAAATTAATTAGCTGATGTGCAAACCATGGCTGCCTCTTCCCACTGCCCTGCAAGCATTCCCCATAAAGCTATGGTGTGTGCAGAGCCTGTGACTGGGAATGACAGGGGCAGATTAGGCAGCTCCTTGGGACACAAGCCTGGCAGCAAGAAACCCACAGCCCGTGCAAAAGAGGCGAGGAGGGGATGATTAGGGTCCCTGGGGAAGGGGCAGAGCCCAGGGACCAGAAGAAAGAGAAACAGGAGAGACTGGACACCAAGCTGAGACCAGGAATCATGTTGCTGCAGCAGCATAAATTGGGCTGGATCTCAAAAACCAGCCATTAACAGGGTCTGGTGGACAGCAAAATCATTTAGAGTTTAGACCACAAGCTCTCTGGGGCAGGACCTGTCATCTCCTGCAGGCTCACACCACAGAGGCCTGTCCTACTTAGTCTCTGGGCATTACCAGAGGATCTGCTTTAAATACTAATTACTCCATGATCAAGACCTGTGAGCTGCTGGGAGCCTCACTACAGCATTACCTGTGGGAAGAGGGGACAGATCTCTGACCTCACGTCCCCAGGGTAATTTGACCCCGTGCACCAGTGCCACAAGCAAATATTACTACCTGCTGATGAAGATGAGAAACTCCTGACCAACTTCACATGTCCCATGCCCAAGCTTTCAAATCCTACTGGAATATCGTGCTTATTCTTTGCCTAGAACAACTACAGGAGACTGAGGGTGCAGGGGAAAAGGGAAAAATGAGAGAATGAAGGGATGCAGCAAGTGATTGGTAGAGGAAAAAATAAAGAGAGAAGCCTCTTTGACATGGGATGCGCACAGTGAACACGGAACATGTTGGAAACAAAGGGATGCAAGGAGAGAGGAGAGACTGGGATGGGCATCTCGGCAGACATGTAGGTAAAAGTTGAAAAGGAAGCACTAATTAGCACCCAGACCATCACTTTCCATTAATAGCTTGTCACCATTTCCTTGATGTTGCTGAGAGCAGGGAAGTTGGTATGTGTGATGCTTACCTGTCTCTATCTCATTAACAGAAGTGAGGGTGAGAACAGATGTTTATTGCCTGCATCCAGATAGACAGGCCCTTTGCTGAACTGAGAGGCAGGAGAGAGGGGGAAAGTTATGAAAGAGATGCTCAGGAAATACAAGCCAAACCCAAATGATGGAAACCCAAATGTAGGACACTCAGATACCAGTGCTGATCCAGAAACAGCCCCAGGCAGGTATCAGGTTCCAGGAATCCACAAGGCAAAACTGCCAGGTCAAGTAATTATAACCCAGGGCAAATACATTGCTGGCCAGGGGAGAATGCTCTGGTATCAGCACAAGTATGTCCAAAGGGCTGTGACTGCATTACACCCAGGAAAGGAAAACAAAAGGCTGCTTACTTCCCAGACGAATTTGCTTAATGTGTCCACTCCACTAGAAGACAGACAGCCAAGCACCTTATTGAGAGCCGGAATGGAGATACCCACCAGTAAACAAAGAAAAAAACAACAAAACCAAAAAAGGGCTATTTCAAGCAAAGATAAATGTCCATTGCATATAACCACCTTCGGAGTAATTCTTACAGCAGTTAAAAATGAGATTATCCCTCCTATGTAAAACACAAAGGCCTCTCCTTTCCCTCCAACATGTGGAACAGCTCCTGATAGTGACACGGGAAAGAGGGAGTGTGCAGGGCAAGGACGCCAATCAGCAAACATCTGTGAGCTGGTAGCACAGATCTGCTGGTGCAGTGATGGGACTGAGTACGTGGGTGCACACTCCCAGGGACACCCTTGCTTTCACAACCACACGAATTCACTACACAAGCCAAAGGTTCCTCCAGCACAGGAGCCCAAACCTCCCTAGGAGGGAACGAGGCAAAACCAAAGGCAAAGAAAACATCAAGGCTGGGACTGAAGGAACAAAGGCTTCCCCCTCTCAGCTTGGAGACATCATCTTGGCCATTTAGCTCAGATCAAGTGTAAGTTCTGTTGACTCCCTCATCTATTCAGACGAGTACTTTCTATAGCCTGATAGGTCTTTTCTGCTTTAAGGCTTCTCTACCCCTGCATTTGACATGCCTGGCCAACACAGTTAACGCCACATGCAGAAATACTGCCCTGAAGAGCCCTTGCTTAGATTTTGTGGTCAAGCACTTCGAAGTTAGGAAGTGTCCAATTTATGGCTGCCCATGCAACCTTAATTCCACCTCACTGTGCAGCCACTCTGGACAGGAAAAGAGGGAGTGAGCTAAAAATAGGCTGTGACCGTGTCGTCAGCCTCATAAGGGCATGGGCAGCGAGAGGCTGAATTAACGTCTCATGGTCAAAATGAAACCGGGTACCCCCTGAGTTGCCAGCGCCTGCTTTGGTGCCTTCAACCGTGTACATTTTTAATATACAGAAATCACGTGCATTCTAAACATACAGAAAAATGCATTATTTATAGCTAATAAATAATAGATTGTTTATATAAGCAAAAAGAAAAACAATTGTAGGCAAGTGTAACAAATTCCCCTTCCTCCACCCCGCACCCATCCCTGCTTCATCCTGTGCGGGCAGAGCGATTTCAAGCCCCAAGCCTCGGCACAGATTTCTGCCACTATGAAATACAGGACTAATGTTATCTGGCAGCGGCAGAAGGCTGCTCTCCCGGGGCCGGCGGGGAAGGGGACCGCTGGGGCTGGCAGTGCCCAGGCCAACACACCCACATCCCCTACACTTTTTCCTTCTGGCTCCAGGACCCGAAGGAATTTTCTCCCAGGAGGTGGGGCCACGCTAGAAGGATAGGAGCTAAAGGTGGAAGGGGGTGATGGAGTTGGCTGTAAACATCCTCCCACCTTCCCTGGCTGGTCCAGAGCTCTGCAATAAAGTGGTCAGAGTCCATGGCTTCACCCTGCTCCTGATCTGTTATTATTATTCCAGGGAAAACAATAAATTTTAATTTTCCCCCCACCCCACCCCAAGAGGCAACCAAAGGGAAATCGGGATTCTAAACAATTCATAATTCAGCTAAACCTGAAAGGAATTTAAGGGACAAAGAATAAGCATTTCTCGAGCCGAAGCGTTTCCCCCGGACGAATTTCAAGGGCCCGCAGCAAACAATGGGAGTGTCAGAGGTGTTCAAAAAGAAAAAAAAAGTTCAAGAATCTTTACAATAAAAAGTGTTAGGCAACACGGAGGTCAGAGCCAGCTCCTCCTATAATAAATAGCACGACTACCCTACATTAACTATAGGAGACATTTTAATGCAGTGCCTCAGCTTCGTGCTAATTATACTTTTTCGCCATATTTTGAACCTAAGAAAAAATGTCATCAGTTAATTATAACAGATGAGGGAGTGTGAAGACTTCCTCAATAAATAATGCCTTGATATCTCATATCCAACAAGCTGCGTGCTCTGCTCTGAAGGCGCCCAGAAATATGTCCTCTCAGGAAATATATCAAGAACTGATGGTCCAATAAGCTGGCTTTGTTTCCAAGCCTTGATTTTCAGCCTAATAATTAAGTGATTTTTATGGATCGAGGAGAGTAAAGGTCGTGGAACTGCTGGAATGGTGCCAGAGAGAGTCAATGTTTAAAAATAAATAAATTCCTAAATCAAAATGAGATACAAGAGACCTCAACAAATTCCCCCCATGGCTGCACAGGCGAGTACACAGAAGCAACTTGGTTTCTGGACCCAAGTCCCATCCTTCCCTCATTCCTGCCATCTCCACAGGAGTCTGGCATGCACTGAAAAAGCCTGGTTTTAATGAAACCAGGCCACCACTGACAGAGTGCCACTGGGAGCCAGCCACTGCTGTCCACCTGCCCCGAGGAGGAGGGACACCGTCCCCCTGCTGCCGTGCTCCCCTAGGCACTGCCCCCCGCTGCACCCATCCCTGCTGAGCCTGGTGGGCGTACGGGTCCTTACAGAGGTTCCTCAACTAAACCACCTTTCTTTCAGCTCCCTTCTCCACCCAGCACCCCTCACTTCCCCCTCTGAAGAGCTGGGATTTGGCGTGGGAAAGATGTCTTTGGGCTTTTCACAAATCCAGTATCCCCTTGAACCAAAACCAATTAGCCTGGCCCAAGGTCCTGCCATTGAAGGACTGTCCCTTCTTTTCAAACCCCCGCAGGCTCAATTGCTCTAAGGAGCCTGGATGTGAATGAGCAAAGCCCGCTTAAAGTGGTACTTAAGGCCAGACCAGGGTGAAGGAAAAGAGAAAGCCTCTATAGGAACAGCAAGCTGAGTTTCCAAGAGACAGCTAACTGCCGGAGATTGTGTTCTTTTGCTCCCCCCATTTTCTTTTTTTTACCCCCACTCCTCAGCTTTCTAGGCAAACGCTCCTAACCAAACCTGAGCCCCTGAATAAATATCAGAAAACACGAAAGCCAGAGCCTCGTCCTGACTCTTTGCAGATCCCGGGAGCGTGCTGTGGGCAGTGTGATGGCCCAGCTTCATGTGCAAGCTCTGGTTCCAAACACGTGCACCCAGAGGGACAGAGGGATGGTGAAAAGCTTGAGATGGTTTTTTTCCAGCTTGGCTCTTGGCAAACATCTTCCTGAGGTGACTAGGTTTGTAGGCACGGAAATCCCTGACCTCGCCAGGGCGACTCCCTGTACCACGTGATGGTGAAGCCAGCGTGGGCAGCCACAGGTCCATCTTATGCTGGTGGCCCCCAAAAGCACCCAGAGATTCAAGGAAACAAAGGGGCCGTGATGTGGGAGCACTGGTGACAGAGGTGACACGCGGTACCCACCCCACAAATGGCACACGTGCACTACCACGTGCCAGGTACCAACCCTCAGTGCTTGTGCCTGTGCAGATGCCAAATTACCACCTTCCCTCCATGCAGACATGAGAAAGTGTGTTTCCAGCACGCAGCCACAATCCCTCCTTGGTGCACAAGCAGCACCCATCCGCAGCCACAGGTTGGATGTGCCCTCCTGTGCCCCTTCTCAGGCAGCACAGAAAAAGCCAGGGCAGAGCAGCAGGTAAAGGGAGGTACCATCCGCTGTGTCAGGGGTGCGGGGATGCGGGGAGGGGTGGGAGCCAAGAGAGACAAAAGAAATGGTTTAGCCCGGCCCCAAGCATCGAACACACCATTGCCAGGCAATTCCGCAAAAATGCCCATTGATGGGATTTCATCCATAACCAAGCGGGAGGGTTTGCATGGCCTGGCTTCCAAGGCAGCTTCTACAAACTGCAGGGATGGAATATCCCATTCTCCATCTGCCCCTGAGCACAGACAAGTTTGGCTTACCCAGGTATCTGGTACGAACCCCCTTCACCTCATCCCTTGAGCCAAACCTGCTGCATGGTGGCCGACTCTTAGGAAAAGATCAGAAATCATGAGCTGGAGCGCTCGATGCCACAGAGCATCATTTCCCCAAGGTGAAACCCACAAATTATATTTTCCATTTATCCCCCAATGGCACACACTGATTCTTCTGCTTCTGTCTCCCTCTGCCCATCCCCACCTCTGCCTGAAGAACAAAGACATCACGGCCCAGCTCCAGGAACCTCACCCACATTTGGCCTACGTTGCATCCCATTGCTCCACCAGGAGAGTCCCACTGAGAAGAGAAAGGGTCGGGAATGCCGGGACATTGGTGGGCTCTCCTCTCAGCACAGCCCAAAAAGACACCTTCCCTTTAAGGTTTGGCTACGCAGGGGAAAAGATCCATCCAAAGCCAACAGCTACACGAACAGGGCAAAAGGCTAAGCCACAAAGGGAACCATGTGTAGCCAAAATCCATCCCTGGCCCAAGGATGGACCCTTATGGACCTTTCTTTCACCATGGCACTTAAAAAAAAAAAAAAAAAAAAAAAAAAAAGACAGAAAGCAGAGACCTGTCGGTGGGCTGCCTGCAGGTATGTCACAAGTAGGGATTTTCTGGGGGACTTTATCTGCCTCCTCGCCCTCCACCCACACGCACATGAGCTGAGGATTCTCATGCCACTGTCCCTCATCACTCACTGCCACCTCCTTCGTTAACTTTGGGGGTGCCGCCTCCACACCTCCCCCAAATGCCCGCGGGTTCCTGTCAACAATGGGGGCAAAAGTGAAGAATTTAAGCACCAGGAAAAAATTCAACTGTAATTTCTGTCTCGCACACTAAAGGCCAAATCGCTCAGTCCCTGTCTCAATCCCCTTCAGGGACGCTGCTCTGGGTTAAGTGAACCAAGTCCATAGCCTGAAAAAATACCTGAAAAATCAGCTCAGAACAGGTGACTTTGGGGAGAAAAAAAAATAGTAGAAGTCAAGGGTGGTTTCTGACCACCTGACCAAATAGCAAGGTGAAAAAGCTTGCATCGATCCTTTGTAAGAGTTCTCATGTAGACACAGATTTCCACACTTGCATTTTATTTCATGAAATTATATATATATATATATATGTATTTATATACACACACACAAAGACATTTATTATATGTGTGTATATTTTTTTTCCTCAGATCCTCTTTTTATATTTTCACCTTTTGCAATTACAAAAGCCAGGGACAGAAATACCTCCTGGGTTCTGCCAGTGCAGAAACACTCCCACCAAACAGATTTTCTCTAACACGCTGGTTGAATGATTCCTCCTGAATTATATTCATTAGGAATTTGAATGTTTCTTTCCTCCATCCCCCATCAAATCATTACTCCGGAATAAATGCATTCATCAACCACCTTGCTCAGTTCCCTCCTGCTTTGTTCAGTCTAGTTTTAAAGCATCTCCACTGAAACCGCTTGCACCTGACTCGATGCTGGCATACGAAAGGGGGAAAAAAATAAATAGGAGAAGAATTGAGCGCCACTCACAATATTGTGAAAATAATTGGAAAATTATTTCTTAAAAATAACCAACATAATAAAGGAGGGAAAGGACTACATTCCCTCCTCCCCACCTCCAATCTCTTCCACAATTTCTGGGATTGCATCGAGTATACATATTCCAGATGGGCTGGATAGAAGGAGGATGGTTCTTAATGACACGTCTTTCGCTGCCTTTGGAATGAATGATTCATTCGGATCTTCCCGAGACTCGGTGCCACAGTTGAGTTACATTTCTAGAAAATCCGTATCTTTAATTCTGGCGCTGCGTGTGGGACCCAGCAAATCATGGAATTACTGCTGTAACTTCGGATTAGTAACGCTTTCTAAATGATAGTCTAATTCCAGGCCTTCATGCTTTTCAGCGTTCACACTCACACAGCCTTTTCCCTGGGAGGCTTCCTGCGGAATTAGTGCTGGCGTCTTCGTCTTTCTCTGCCCTTTTTAATTTCTCCAATGACTTCTCATTAGAATATATAATAACAGCTCCTCAGAACTTTTCTTTCTCCCGGTATAGCCAAATTCAGGCTGAGATCCTTTTTCCTTACTGTGGTTATGGCGGTGCTTTGCTGGCCCTGGAAGGGTGCACAGGCATATTTAGCTTTGCGGGCCTACGTGGCATCTGACGCCATTACCCCGTGCAAGGGAAGGTGGAAAACCTGCCTCCGATGTGCGGGGGGGCTCCCACCTCTCACCATCCCTGCACGCCGGTGGGCACGGGCGGCTCGGCCCTGCTGTGGTACCCTCTCCCTCGGCAAGGGGTGCCCACTGCGGAGAAAAGGATGTGGCAGGGTACCCGCGCTCCACCTCGCCGAGCAGTGGGAACGCGGCAGCACCTTCCCCAGCCCTCCCCAGCCTCCTGCAGCATGTCCTGGGGGGCAGAGGGCCAGCAAACAGCCCACTCGTAACCCCAGTCACGGGAAGATTTTTCTCTGCAGCCTTCCCGGAGCTGTCACGGCCCGTGTGTGCTGGCGGCAGGGTGGGGATCATCCCTGTGGGATGTGAACCGCCAGCGCCGGGCCAGGGGCTGGCGGCGATGCCCCCCGGCCTGCCCCAGGGTGCCGGGGGGCCCCGGGGGACCCCGGCCCCGGCCAGGGGCGCTCGCCCCACGCCAGCTGGGAAAACGTGCCGGGAAGGCTCGGCAGAGAGCGCGGTGCTTTCTGTCGCCATGGGAACGGAATGCAGATGTGCCAATTGCTTTTCTTTTCTTTTCTTTTTCCCTCCCCCCCCCTTTTTTTTTTATTATTATTTGCCAGACATTGTAATACACATTATGTTTCAACTTCTGGGGCTCTCAGAGGAGGTGAGGCAGGCTTTGTCCCTTGCCAAGCACTCGGCTCCCAAAGAAACCCCAGGGCCGGGCGGCTGCACGCCGGAGGGGTGCACTCAGCAGCGGGACCCCTTCCCCGGGCATCCCCCCGCAGCTACAGACAAAAGCAACAGCCACCGCGCAAGAAAAGTGGTCACATTATCACCAACTTGACCTTCCAAAGGGAGGCCAGGATCAAATCCAAAGCCGTAAAAAAAAAGAGAGGGAGAGAGAGAAAAGGGTAAATACCCAAAAGCTGGGGGTTTTCGAGGTCTGACCTGTAGGCTGGGATGGGGGAAGGATTTTTTGGGGGAGGGCTCTCGCTCCCTCTCCATCCTCCTAGAGCCGCGACACCCCGCAGCCCAGGAGTGAATTTCGAGGTGCGTTTAACCGACAGTTAAACCCCGGGTTTCTTTGGCAATGGAAGGATTGGCGCAGGGCTCGCCCCCCTGTCTCCATCCCTCCCGCCTGCTGCCGCGGAGCCCCGGGCTGCCCGGAGCGGCCCGACGGGGAGGTCGCGGAGCCGCAGCCCTTACCTGGAGCGCCAGGGCGGCGAGTCGGGCCGTCTCTGCACCGCCGGTCCTGGTGCGGCCGCTTCCCCCGGGCGAGCAGGTCTGGAAGTCATTTCTACTTTCGGTTATCTAGCTTTATGATGGCTCCACAACACTCATACAGCTAGATAACCAAAGACAGAAACATCCCTCCGTCGGGGATGCCGGCCATCTGTCTGTCCGTTCGTCCGTCCGCTCCAGGGTGCGGGCACGGTCGGGGCAGGGCGGCGGGAGCTGCCACCGGGAACCACACACACATTAAAAAAAAAAAAAAAAAAAAAAAAAAAAAAAAAAAAAAAAAAAAAAAAAAAAAAAAAAAAAAAAAAAAAAAAAAAAAAAAAAAAAAAAAAAAAAAAAAAAAAAAAAAAAGAGAGAGAGAAAGAGAGAAAAAGATAAATACGAAGCGGAGAGGACGAGAAGCGGGGCAGAGCCACGGGCGCACGGGCTGCTGCGGGGGCTCGGAGCCGAACCGCGCCGTACCGAGACAGGTCGGGCTGCGCTGAGCCGAGCCGAGCAGAGCCGGGCCGGGCTGGGCAGGGTAAGGCAAAGCAAGGCAAGGCAAGGTAAGGCAAGGTAAGGCAATGCAGGGCAGGGCAGGGCAGGGCAGGGTCGCGGGGGCCGATCCGAGCCCGTCGGTGCCCATCCCGCCGGCCCGGCCCGGCGAGCGCCACTCGCGCTCCCGCCCCGCTGCCCAACTTCTACTCCCCTCGCATGGTAATCGCCCCCTTTGGGAAGTGACGTCACGCCGCGCCCAGCCAATCCCCGGGCCCTCATTTAAATCAGCGCCCCCTTTCCCGCGCTTTCCGGGACGGGATGGGCTTTCCAGCGGCTCGGGATGGGATGGGATGGGATGGGACGGGGCGGGCTCGGCACAGCTCGGTACGACACGGCACCGGGCGGGACCGGCCGCCCTCCTCCCGCCCGGCCTGTGCCGGGGGGCTGCGCCGAGGGTCGCTCTGCACCCCCCCCCCCTCCTCCCACCCCGACGTGCCCCCGGGGCAGCTCCGCGGGGCGGGCAGCGGAGCGGGAGAGGCGGGCAGCACCCACTCCTGCACGGCCCTGCACCTGCAACTAACTTCCCTCTCCCTGTCCTCGGCACTCCCCTCTCTTTCTTTCCTCTCTCTCTCTTTCCTCTCTCCTTCTCCCTTTCCCCTCTCTCCCTTTTTCTTCCCCTCTTCCTCTCTCCCTTTTAGTCTCTCTCTTTCCCTGGCCTTTCCTTTCTCCCCACCTTTTCCCTTTCCATCCATTTTCTTTTCCTACACCCGACCCCTTTACTTCTCCCTTTTCCTATTTTTCCCTCTCCCAGCCATGCTCCCCCTCCTGCCCTCCCACGTTCAGCGCACCTCCCTCATACCTTCTCCTCCCCAAACAATGACCTCCCAGTCCGGTCTCCGCACCTGGGGGCAGCCCGAAGGGCTCCTTTTCGCGCAGCCAAACGCGGGGCCCGCCCGTCCCGAGACGTGTACCGGAGGCTGGGAACGCACCCGCGATCCCCCACTGATCCCCTCTGCTCCCCGTTTCCCCTCCGTTTAAATTATTTCGCCTCCACGATCTGCTATTTCCCGCACAGATTCATAACGTGATATGCGTGTAGCAGCGAATCCAGCATGTACAAATAATAACAGCATCAATAATCAGATTAAAATGCCGGGAGGTAAATATAATTATGCGGGGTGCTTAACTGACCTGCTCCTCATTAAAAAAAAAAAAATAAAAAAAATTAAAAAAATTAAAATTCTAATCATCTCTGCTTCTGAACATCGCCTTCCTTTAAATCCTGGACAAGGGTAAAATGTGACCTGCTACAAAACGAGGGATCCGCGAAACGAAGCGATCGCGGCTGGAGCAGCCGCAGCAGAGCGCTGCCTGCCGGTCCCGCCGGCTCCGGCTCCCGGCGAGCTCTGCTCGGGTTATTTATTTCTGCCTCTCCTCCCTCCCCCTCCCAGCCATCCCCTTAAAAAAAAAAATTAAAAATTAAATAAATAAAATCTACGATCTCAATCAGGCTAAAAGCTAAAGGACGAGGGCTGCCAACCCTTTGCGAGCCGGCGTTGCTCCCGGCGCCCAGGCGAGCCCGGCCGCCCCTGCCCGGCTCCCGGGAACTGCAGATTCCCTCCTGCTTCCTCCCTAACGAGAAACGGCCCTGGGGGTGCTCCGGTCGCCCCGACGAGGCTGAGGAAGGTGGAGAGAAATATTTTCTCCGTCCCCAACCCCTCAGTGCCTACCCCGCGGCCCGGAGCCGCTCGGGAGGGGGTTCGGCCGCCGTTTATTTTAATCTGCCCCGGGAGACAGGGGGAAAAAAAATGCTACGAATCGGATCTCCTTAATTTTCCGGCCTTGGATTTTCTCTTAATTTATCGGTTTTGCTGTTAGGGTGGTCGCAGTCGGTGTGCTCGCGGCTGGGGCGGGGAAAGGCGCCCGTCCACCCCACCGCCTCCGAGGGCGGCCCGGGGGCGCAGGGACGGTACGAGCGGGCACGGGGGGCTCTCCTGGCCCAGGGGCCAGCCTCGGTTTCGCCCCACGGAGGAGGCCCCCGTACTCACCGCGGGGCCCCGGTGGCGGGGAGTACCTTGGGGCGCCGCCGGCAGCTTCCCCCGCTCCTGGGGCCGTTCTGGCGGCAATGCGGCCCCGCTCCAGACCCACCGCCCCTGCGGCAACGGCTAGGGGGGCCTGGCGGGCAGACCTGCTAAGCCGCAGCTCTGCCCGGCTGTCACCGTGCAAGGTCTCCCGCCCGCCGCGACGAGTTCCCGGGCCGCCGTCTCGCTCAGGCGAGGATGCTGCGGGTGAACCACTGCACCTCGCCGGGCTGCTCGGGGCTGGAGACGGGATCCCCTCTCTCTGCCGGTCAAAGGAGGTGATTTTCTTGGCGGAAATATATAGGATAATATTTTTTCCCTGATCCATTTCGGCAATGCCTTGATCTGCTTGGAGCTCTCCCCTGGACCCTCTCTGTGCAGGCAGAGCCCCAGCACCTAGGAGAAAATACCTGGCCCTTGGAGTATTTTGGTTGGTTTTAGGCTTTAGGGTTTGTGGGGTTTTTTGTTTGTTTGTTTGCTGTGGAGGTTTTTTTTTTTTTGCTTTTTTGTTGGGTTTACGGGTTTTTTTTGCGGAGGGAGAAGGAGAGGTTGGGGTGCTTTTTTGGTACAGTTTTAGCAGGATGCCTACAAAATGGCTCCTTGGCACAGGGCAAAGCACTAGCGAGCATCTTGGGGAGGAATCGGCAAGGGCTGCCCGTGCTTCGGAGCTCCAGTGGCTGCAGCGGGCATCGACCGGAGCCAGGCCCCGTCCTGCCTCATCTGGGTAGCCCACACGGGCCGTAGGGACGGCGGGACCGTCCTTCCTCTGCACACACTCACGAGAGGAAACAACCCTCGGTCGCGGGCGGCCCGACGGGACGGGGAGGGGCGGCGGTGCCGGCGTGGCTCTGGCCATGGTGCTGCACCGGCCCCGGCGCCCTGCGGGCCTTCCGCGCCCACCCGCGGGCAGGACGGTCCCGGCGCCCGCTCCCTCCTCGGGTGACCCTGCGCCGAGCAAGGCCAGTGGCCCCGTCGGCCGCACCTCGGAAGAGCCTGGTCACCGGGCCGCCCCTGAATTATTTAACGTGATCGCCCAGTAACGAGTCCGCTGCCTTCCCCTCTTCTACGTCCTGCACGTCTGACGTCACTTTTCTTTAATTAGGATAAGTTATTTTTAGCCAACCTGGAGTAACCCCCCGCGCCTCGAGCTGCATCTTCTCCTAATTGTTTTTTTTGGGGGGGCGAGTTGTGTTCTTTTTTTTTTTTTTTTTTTTTTTTTTTGCTCTTCCCTGCACCATCGGGGTTTGGCAAAGAAGCGGCAGCTCCCGACGGGCGTGAGGGAAACGCGTCGCTTTGCTTAGCAATTAAAAGCCGCCTCTGAGCAAGCCCCGGTGCCGAAAAGGTAAAGCGGCGGCGTCTCACCCCCGGCTGCTCTTTTCTCTCCGGCCGTCGGGACCGGAACCCAAGCGGGGACTGTCCCGGACCCTCCTCACTCTGCGGGGCAAGGTGTTGCGAGGCCGGGGGCCGGGGGTGGAGGCACGTCGAGGGGATCCGGGCTCTCAGGCCACCTGCACTGCTATGATTCGGGTTTCCTTAAGGTTGAGGCCTAAAATGAGCTTCACTTCCAGGGTGATACGGGAAAAACAAAAACAAAACCAAAAACAACAACAAAAAAAACCACCAAAACAAAACAAACCAAAAACCCCACAAACAACAAACACCAAGGAAATAAGCATTCGCGGGAAGGCAGGAAGCAGAAGGGAAGAATTAATGTGAGAAAAAAAAATGAAAAGAAAAAGAAAAAAAATCCAAACAAACAGAAAAAAAAAAGGCAGAAAGAAAAATAAAATAATAAGAAACAGGAATTAAATAAAATAAAATGTATTTTTTTAAAAAAGTAAAGAAAAGGGAAACAGCAAATGAAAAATTAAATAAATCCTTCAGCACCAGAAGCCGTGCACGAGCAGCGGTAGCCACGCTGCTGCTCCTCGGCGGTAAATCCGAGCAGGGGAGCGAGACGCCCCAGTACCTCCCTCCTCCCCACGAAAAACAGGCCCAGCAGCAGCACCCGCTGCATCGGGAGGAAGAAGTTCTCCGGGAACCCGAGATTTCTCTCACGGCCTAAAGCCTGAATACCCAGGGAGGCTCGGCCTCATCAAGGCGTTTTGTCCGGTGCAGCTTCTCCGGTCGGAGAACGGGGAGGTTCGGGGGCAACTCGACAGCATCCCGGCAGCGCTCGGCCCCGGCTCCCTGCCGCCCGTCGGGACTCAGCCCGCCCCGGGCCCTACTCTCGAACTGCAATGTTCCAGGCAGACAGGGAGAGGCTGCCGGAGCAAACGCGTCCCCGGCAGTAAAAGGTCCCCCGTGTCTCCCACTCGTCCCCCGCGAAGGGTGAGCCGCGGCCACGGTGCGGCGCGGGGCGGTCCCGGTCCCGCGTGGTGCCGGCACCTGGAGGCGCCCAACTTTCCGGCGGGGACCGGTCCAACTTCGTCTCCCCCCTCCCTTTCTCCCTGCCTCCCTCCTCCCCCTCCGGCAGTCGGTGTGTCCCCCCGGAGCAAACGTCTCCCCCCGCGCCCTCCCGCCTCCCCGGGGCCGCCCCGCCGAGGTGGCGATGCCCGGCCGCGACACTCACTCTGCTGCCGTGCGGAGGGCAGGACGGCGGTCCCCGGGCGAAGCGGGCTGCGGGGCCATTCCCCTCCCCGGGGCGGGCGGAGGAGCGGGCAGGGCTGCCCCCGGCCGAACGGTGTCCCCCGCAGCCCCCAACCCCGGGCGCGGACCGGCGGGGGCGGCGGAGGCGGCTCTGCCCGCGTTCCGTGTGTCTTCCCGGCTGCTGCCGGTGCCGGCTCTGGTCGCTGGCCGGGAGCTGCCGCCGCCGGCAGGCTCTGCCCGCACTGACGTCAGCCCGGCAGCCGCCTATTCACTCCAACCATGGCGGAGAGGAGGAGGAGGAGGGAGAGGGGGAGGGGAGGAGGCGGGGGGAGGGAGGGGGAGAGGAGGAGGACGGGAGGAAGGCGACGGTGGCGGCGGGGGCTGGTGGCTGGCAGGCTCCGCCGAGCAGAAAGCTCAGCCTCTCCGCCTCACCCCTTAATTACCCGCCGAGGACGGGGCTGCTCGGGGGAGGGGGGCCGTGTACCCCCCCTCCCCCCGGTGAGCCTCTCTGCCACCCACTCCCTCGGGGCTGACGGGACTTACCTGGCCGCCCCGCCGGGCACCCCACTCTGGCCTTGGCTCCGGGGAGCCCTTCTCCTGGGGAAGAGCCGGGGCTGGCCCCCCAACCCCTGCCGCCCGATCCCATCTTGGTGGTGCCCCCTTCCCTTGAGGAACAGCCCGCAGTCACAGCGGACAGGGAAAGGGCTGCGGCCGCCCCTGCCCACCGCCGCCCCGGGCACCTCCCAGCGCCCCGCAGCCACCTCCCCGGCCCCGCACCGCTGTCCAAATGCTGAACGGACCGGCGAGTGCCTGGCACGGCTCGGCTCGGCTCGGCTCGGCACAGCACAGCCCGCCTGAGGCCGTCGGGCAGAGCCTGGGCACGGGCTATCTCCGGGCCGCAGCCCTGGCCCTGGAAAGGGAGTTCCTCCTGGAGCCTTGCCGGGTCGACCCGTGCCGTGCCGTGCCAATGCTCTCCCCGAAGTACGGGCCGAGCCCTGGAGCCCGGTTCGCCCCGACAGCCGCAGCGCAGCGGCCGCAGTGAGCTGGGACCCGGGCGAGGGCACGCAGGTACCGCCAGAGCGTTCCTGCTCCGCTCCCCTCTGCCTCTATCACCGTCCTTACAGAATCACACACACACTGCACCACCTGCAGCCTCTGCTGTAAGGCGAAAAAAACCCTCCCCCAAAAAACACAACCACCCCCCCACACCCCCACCCCAATCCCTCCTGGCACACCTTTACTTCGCTTCCGACCTCTCCTCCTCTTCCTTCCTGCGTTTAACCTGGCTCCTATTTTTTATCTCCGATTCACTCCACCGATGCCCCGGAGCGGCTCTGGGGAGTCTCTCGCAGCCCCGATGAATACACAGGGATCCCCAGACAGGTTTTCTATGTAGGAAAAAATAAACCAATCGAGCCCGAGAGATCTGCAACAGCCGAACATGCCGCCTCGCCTTTACATTCATGTTTTTAAATTCCCCCGTTATTTTCTTTTTTGCATCTGCGAGTTGCCACGAAAGGAAATACAACCCCAAACGCCACTGCCAGCAGAAACTGGAGCTCGTTGCCAAATTCCGTTGTATTTTATTTTAAAAGCAAT